TATAATTTACATACCATAAAATGCACCTGTTTTAAATGTGTAATGCAATGATTTTGAGTAAATTTAGAGTTGTGCAAACATCCCCCCAATCCGATTTAAAGAACATTTCTGTCACCTGCAAAAAGTGCCATGTCTACTTAGAGTCGGTCCCCAGTCCCATCCCCTGCCAACTGCTAATGTGCACTGTGTGTCTGTAAATTTGCTTTTTCTGAACATTTCACATAAATGGAATCAGACGTTGTGTCGCGTTTTGCATCTGGCTTCTTTTCCCAAGCGTAATGTCTCTGAGGTTCATCCTTGTTGTAACAACGTGTTTAAAGAGTTCACTCCATGGGGGTGCCTGGGTGGCTCAGCCGGTTAAGCGCATGACTTCAGCTCAGGTCATGATCTAACAGTTTGTGGGTTTGAGCCCCAAGTCAGGCTCTGTGCTGACAGCTCAGAGCCTGGAACCTGCATCAGATTCTGGGTCTCCTTCTCTCTCTGCCCCTCCCCCTCTCACTCTCTCTCTCAAAATTAAACATTTAAAAAATTAAAAAAAAAAAAAAGATTTCACTCCTTGTAATTGTTGGATAGTATTCTATTGTATGGCTAGGCCACATTTTCTTCATCCATTCACCATTTGATAGACATTTGGTTTGTTTCCTTATGAACGTTTGCATACAGAACTTCGTGAGGACATATGTTTTCATTTCTCCTGGACATACATACCTAGGAGTGGACTTGCTAGGTCATATGGTAAACTTATGTTTAACTTTTTAGAAAATTATCAAACTTTTTCAAAGTGGCTGTGTGCAGGTGGTGGTTAATTTCCAAATATTGGTGGATTTTCCAAGTTTCCTTCTGTTGTTGGTTTCTGATTTCGCTCAGGTCAGAGAACATGCTTCGTATGATTTTAATCCTTTTACATTTATTAAGACTTGGCTTAGTCTGCAGTCTCTCCTGGAGATTGTTGGTGTTCACTTAAGAAGTTTGTATGTTATGTTGTTGTGGGGTGGAGTGTTCCAGAGATGACAGACTAAGTTGGTTCATAGTGTTGTTCA